TATCTTTAGGAGCGAAAAAGTCATTAATGACCTTGAGATCGGTGCTTCCCTGGCTTTGTGAGACTAGCTGCGTAAAAGGAATTTCTTTACCACGACCTATTGCGTAAGATTTCCAAACACGAATGCCTTTCTCCTCAAATTGAATATYATGTAACTTGCTGAAGCCATCTATTTTCTTAACCTGCAAGGTTTCCTTCTCCTCATCTACTACGCAGACACATGCAGACGTACCTTTTACTGGCCTTTCTGAAAGTGCTGTTCTCATATTCTCTGCACATAGAATGTCATKTCCTTCGTTGCAGTACCGTCGGATGCATGTCTTCATCGGGCATAAAATTCGATCGCAAACATCCTTGCCATACTGTGGTTCTGAATAATCGTATCGACAAACAGCTATACCTACTCGCTCGCCGATATCTTTTGCTGCAGCAATTAGAGCGTTATTATGATAACAGCCGGCTTCATCCGACCGCAGATAAACCTGGGTAACATGCGGTTTCTGGATCTTGATGACCTTCAGTGTGTTTTCCATAACTGAAGATACTGCAAACCAGTCTTGCTGGCACGTATCAAAGAGGTGGGCATATGACTGTAGTTCTAAAGAACCTTTCTTCTTCGTATCGCTGGAGATAACTGTAGATATGTGCCAGCTTAACCCTCTTTTACCGTACCAGTCGGACTGCTTTTCACGGTATCTAAGCTGCTGGAACTTCATTGCCCAGTCCATTACAATAAGTGCTGCGTTCGGTTTGTTGGTAATTATATTCAAGCAATCCTGCTTTGCTGCTTCCTGGTTAACAGATCGAAGGATGTGAGCCTTCCATTGCAAGATGTGTGAGCGAGCCTGCTTGAAATCGTACTGTAGATCTTCTCGCTGCTCCTTGCTATAAGGGCTCCATAATGAGCTTTGTATTTTGCACTCTATGTTATCAAGAACATCTATAAGATTGCGACAGTCTTTGCAAACTTCAGAGTGTTGGTGTGAACATTTTTCCTGATAATCGAAGTCATTCTCGTCACTTAATGCAAATTTACGACAATGGTCAGGGCATGTGGACTCCTCTGGTTT